TCCAGCTGTTGTACTGTTGTGCAATTATTTTCAGTAAATGTTGGATGTGGAAGCAGCTAGTCTAATGAAGTACTATCAGGTTTCTGAGTTGCTATGGTACTCCACTACTAGTGCCAGATTTCTTGTCCTTTGGGCTGATTGCAAGTCCCTTATGTGTTAGGGTCTACTGGTGACTGAGTCCTCAAAAGTTTTAGTTTGTCTCGCATTGTATAAGGATGTTTGCACCACAGTAGGACGTGAGTTCTAGTGCTGGTCAATGTAGCCTCAGTTCAGGTTTTCAAGCATCCTTCCATGTGTTCAGGGGATGATTCAGGTCATGTTCTCTAGTGACAATGGGAGGTCACTTAGACTTTCTGAGGAAGCTGACTATCCCTTTGGAATGGTCAGTCTTCCCAAATTCATCTCTCCTGCATCATGCAATAGCAGCTAGAGTTGGTTACTTATTAAGGAAGTTCATGTCCCTCGCTCCCACAGCTGTAGAATTGAACTGAGAGTTAACTTGTGGCTATCAAAGCTGGGAATTTCTCTCCATAGCTCTGGCTTTATCTGGTGTAAATATGCAATTTATGGTGAGGGACCAGTCTCTGTCATCTCAGCTGCAATATAGTCAGTGTAGCACTGGAAGCCATAGTTGAAGTTGAGGCTGTTTTGCCAGCTATTGTACAAAAATGAGATCACATAGCAAATTACTGGTGGACTTAGGCATGAAATCCCACATCTCTGCAGTGTTAGTTAACATTCTGTGTGCTGCAACACTTGTAGGTAGTTTAAGAAAAGCACTATAAAGGCTGGCTAGGGTGTTTTGTAGCATAGAGCAGTCAGTGAAGTGTACTCACACTTAAGTGAGTGCTTTGGACACCTCTTCTTACAGCTATCCAGTTCCACGCCTTCCTTTATAGCAAGTATTTCTTGGCTAAAACTGTAACATCCATAGAGTATTACAGAAGCAAAATACTATCCATTACTTGAAGATTTGCTTGCTTAATCTCTCTTGAAGGGCTGAGTGTCCTGGGTACTGGCACTTAAATTGTCACACTTCATTAGCTGTTGCAACTGCTGTCTTAGTGTGTTCTGCTGACTGTAAATTGACATTGGACAACACCTTCAGGATTGCGCTCTCAAAGCATTGAAATGTCTGTTTCAAATATTTGATCACTCTAATGCACCTGTAGTAGAGAACATGTGCCAGGTCTAATGTCCTGCTGTTGCAGGATACAATATTGTATAATGCCTTATGTGGAGGCGACTTTAAATGTTTCTGTTTCTAGTACTTAGCAGCAATGTGGAGAAACTAAAGTATGTTTGTGAATGTTGTTAATTTAATTAAAAAATCTGGCTAAGTGCTAGGAAACTCATGAAACTTTTACAGGTAACATGCTTTTGTTCTGGCCCATTATTTCTGTGTGTACATACTTTTAAGTTCTTTGTCTTTCATGGTGTTTCTAAATGCTTGTGGGACTTTCAGGTTTGCATAGATTTAGGACAACAGATCCAAAACCATCATTCAAATATCAAAGAGGGAATTCTTCTAAGGTTACAGTAGCTTTTTCTCCTTAAAATCAAAAAGCAAACTGTGTTGTTAACTTGCCTGTTCCAGTGTCTAATTCTGAATCGCTAAATGAGTTAAATAGATTTGAGCTAGACATCTCTGCTTTTGTGTCTTAAAAACAAAATAAAATTGGGAGACATCTTCTGTTTAGCTTAAGCCGTCTTTCTGTGCCATAGAAAGGCAATCTACACAGCTAGCTAGGTTTAGCTATCTGACCTCCCTTTCATGGGATCCACAGTGGTGGATAGGAGGAGACCTGGAGAAGTCTTCCATGGACTGCGTGGTGGCTGCCAGCAATAACAATTAGTAGCCTGGCAAGTTGTTTGATTCATTCTTAAGATTTGAATGCTTCCCCTAGAAGTAAGAATGCTGACTCTATTCATTAAACTAGACCACAGAAATAATTTTACCAACCATGTGGTTATACTTAATGTTCATTGAAGAGCATCAATAAGTGATTCATTAAAAGGATTGTTTCCAGCTTAGGGTGTGTGTTCTCCTTGTTTTGTTTTGTTTTCCGCTTTCTGAATGACTGGTCTTTATGCCTGGCTGACTTTATTTTCAGGTGATGGTGGTGTTAAGGCATGGATGAATCTGTTGCCCAATTCTGATAATTCTCCTTCCTTTCCCCAACTATGTACTGTCACCTCACATAATTCTATAAATGCTCAAGTAACATCACTTCTGTAAAAGTAAGGAGTACATAGACTTATTTGCTTGTGCATGTATAATGTAAATCTCTTTGCAACTCCTCCACAATAGCACATGCATGTTACTTGCACAAAAGTATGCTGTTAATGTAATGAGGAATAAATTCGTAGGCTGTCAGTTTTGTAAAACAAGTCACTGTAAAGGATACATGGGGGATGATGAAAGAAAGGACTATTCAGACTTTTGTCTAAAACCTGCTCTATTGCAAAATTCATGTCTATTGCAGTGGCTCAAAGGTGGGATCTTCGTATTCCTTTCCTGAACAGACACCTACACAACCCGTCTCATTTTGATAGCAACTTTACTGCTGACTTCAGTGGAAGCAGGGCCAGGGCCAAAACCAAATCACTTAATAACATTTGGGGCAGGGGAGGAAGGGAATGTGTTACCAACACAAACTTAAACTCATGCCTTGACCTTTCCCCTAACCTGTAAGAAAAATGGTGTAAGAATAAGCTTGGCTGTTGGACAGTGATTTCCTTGTGCCAGTTTATTACCTGATTCTAAGGTTTGACTTTATGCTATGAACTGAATGCCTGTGAATGACTCGTAGCCTGCATTTACCTTAAATAAACTCACTGTCCTGTGTTGTAGGATGAGTAAGTTGTGTAACTCGAGGTTAGTGTAAGACATTGAAAAATCTTGTTTCACCTTGCTTGAGGAGGCTGGACACTGCTGCTCAGGCCGTGGGTGCTGGCCTGTAGTGCATAGACTGGGCTAGAGTTGAAAGTGGCATCCAGAGAACAGGTGAACTAACCATGATACCTTTTGTTACCACCACTGCAAGAAGCTAGGAAGCTCCTCAGAGAAAGAAGGGAGAGAAGCAATATGCATCTCTTCCTGTCAAGAGAGGGAAGAGATCCTTACAGCTAGCTGGGTAAGAGGGCAGATCATCTGCAGAGGATCCCAGACTAGTACTTTTTTTGCCCAAAGCTAGTGTAGAGTATATCTTCTCATCTGTCTCAGGTGAATGTTTGTCTTACCCTTTATTTGCATTAGAGTTTGTCTGGTCTAAATGAGAGTGGGTATTTCCCAGCCTCAGGTGTAGAACAAGCTGGGGAGAGTACCCTGTCTGAGCACAAAAAAAAGCAGGGTTGGGGGTTGAGGTGAAGACAATCAAAATAAAAAGGAAGCAAAATACATCTTTATGAAAGTGGAGGAGAGGTGATGGAAGGAAAAGCTAGACTGTAAGCTATTAGGAGAAATAAAATCTGGAGCAGAAGGCATATAAAAGCCAGAGTGATATAGTAAATGAGGCTGTTGTAATTGATAATTAAAAACTTGGAAGACAGTTTCTTACAGGAAAAAACAGTCATATTTCTGACAGAAAGTCCAAGAGACAGATGAACTCATAACTGAATCTAGGTTTGGATATTCCTGCACTTGCCAGAACTCAATAATGGTGTGAAAATTCAAACTGGGTGAAATCTTTCATGAGCTAGAGCTTCATTGAAAAGATGTCTGCATGCCAATGTTGATCCATTAGGCTTCAGCCCCACTGCATATATGTCATGCCTGCCCTTGGCTCACTTTTCGAGGACTGGGCTGTTTCATGTTTTCCTTGCTGAGGTGGGAAACAAACGTGACCCAAGTCTTTGACTTCTGTGCTTCAAAGCAGCAGCAAGTTGGTACCGTGTTTTTTGGGATCAATGTGGAATACTGATGCCAGTCTTGCTCATTCCAAAAATGAAAACCAGACTGCTGCAGCAACACAGGAAAACAGTTCTTCAGTCTGCTATGAATATCATACATGAAAGAAAGCAGTAATAGGGCTTTTCAGCTTATAGTATATCAGCTGTTAAATATAGAACAGAGCTATAAAAAGCAGAACAAATTCTAATATGTCTTTTATACATGGAGGGCTGAACCTAATAAAACTTCTATGTGTAGTGCTTGAAAAAGAACCTTTGGTTAGTTTCTTTTGTTCTGTCCTTACAAAATTGGTGGGCTGACTGGAGAGTTTGTTGAAACGAGCATTTTGTCTGTGGTTTTGCACTGATGCCAGAAGTATTTGCTCTTAGATTTGTATTGGTTGATTGTGTCTTGCAAGGTGTCTCACTGATGCTTACCTATTTTTAAAAGTGTAACATGGATGAGACAAAATCAGCTTGTGGCTGGGTATTTAGCTTATGGGAGGTTTTGACAGTAGGGGCCATAAACCTGCTAATGACTTGGCTTCATATAGCAGGCTTCTGGTTCATAGTATGTTTGTTTTTACATGCTGTGTTTGGGCATGCTGCACCTAGCTTATAGAGCAGAATGAGGAAATCTATACTGTACAGCACATAACCTAAAAAAGTATCATGGTTAGTACAGAATCTTTCCTTATTTTGACCAGTTATGTGCAACGGTAATTGGGTTTTAACAAAGTAAATAAATCCTCTAACAAGTGATGACTTAATGGGCTCCATGCAATGCCCATTGTGAGAAGGAGTGTATGAAGCATTTATTGTGTTAATGCTTTGTATTGTCTATCTGTTGGAGCTTTTCTCCTCAGTCTAATAGCAAGAAATCAATGAAATCCAAGGTATTTGCAAAGTAGCCTTAATATTTTTGTAATGTTTCTTTAAAAACCTTTTCTCCCCATTTGTGCTTATTCGTTTTATTTGCTGGCTAAATGGTTTAAGTGTTTTATGCTGCATTTCTGTGATTGTAATTTGTGTAGCCATGTGGTAACCAAGAAAAAAAAAACATGAGGAGATTGCAAAAGTTGCAGGAGGAAATACTGAAACAAGATGAAATGATCTCCACCTGTTTTTTTTGTCCTATGAATAACTGGATTTATACTGAGGTCTTTGAGACTGCTGGTTTGATTTTTTTTTTTTTTGGTTTTATTTCTTTTCTGTGGTTCCAGGATTTGAGGACTAGCAAGCATAACAAAAGGGCAGACCCAAAGAGTAGAATAGCTTTCAGATAAGTCAAGTTAGAGCTATGTACAAGTAGAGAAAAAACTTAAGGGGAGAGATTTAAATAGCTCAAAAGAATGTAACCTATTGGCCATGCCCATTCCACAGAAATATCTTTCCTCTTTATAGTGACTTAATATAGCTTCCAGAATTAAAAATAGGAGGTAGTTAGCCTTGTAAATCTTCTCCATTAGCTGTTATAAAAACATCCTGCAATATGCAAATATTTGAGAAGCAGCTCTGTACTGCATAACTCCCGCTTGTTCCTAATACCCTGTTGCTTTTTCTGCTAGAAAATGGAGTTAGGTAAGACTAGCTTTGCAGGTGTGAGGAAGAAAATGACCTCAGGGTTTGGACAGACAACTTCACTGTTGTTTTTTTTTCTCCCTCTCCTTGCCCTAACATAAGTCTGAGCTCAATGTCATCTGGAAAGGAGACTTTCTACAGATTGTCGCTGTATTCTATTTCGAGAAAGGGATGTAATTTCTAATTCTAGTAAACAGAATGCTATGGCAAGTAGACATGTCTGTTTAAGTACAGTCATGGGTGACCTGTGAGATCTCTGAGGGAATGTCCTTTTTAAGCTCTTATAATTGTTTTTCTGCCTTCTGTTACAGTTACATTTTTATGAACATTTTGTTGGGAGCATGGACCTGACAATATTTCTGTTTGGGGTTTTTATATTATTTTTCACCAAACATTGGGAATACTGTGTTTTTCATGAGGCATTTTAAAGGGCTCATTGTAATTTAAAGAAATAGCTCTCAGATTACTGGTGACATATACTAAAAAAAAATGGAAATCTTTTAAGCATAATCCACTGCATATTTAATACATATTAACAAAAGAATGTGCACTTTGTAAAGCTTTCACTATCTTGTTCTTTAACTGAAGTTTCTTGATCTTAACCCTTCTATTGAATATTTCATTAAATTGCTGGAAATGTAGTTGGATGATGAGTTAAAGCACTTTGCATCCTGAGGAGTGCTGCTGTGCAGGCATGCGTCAGATATCGTCCAAAAGCTACAGAATGCAGCTCCTCTTGGGATGGGGTGAGGGGAAAGAAATCTATTGTTTCAGAATACTGAGGGGGGGCAAATGTTTCCTGCTTGCAGAGCAGGGGATATCTCAAAGGCAAAAGAACTAAACGACATTACTGCACAGCACATCATTGTTTTGGGAGGCACCCATTGTCAGGCAGATAGCACACACTTTTATTTCAGACTTCATGCTTAGGCAGATCTTTGTACTGTTTAAATAGCATAATATGTTACTATTAAAGTGATCAAAGTGCTCCAGTGGAGCCTTTTGTCCTTCTCGGTGTTGTATTGCATTAGGAAATGTTTGTTTATTAGTTTCTTGTTGTTCTGTTCCAGATTGCTGATCTACAGCTCCATAAACTGGATGAATTGGACTGTTTGATCCAGGGCCTCCTTTATGTTGATTCTGTTGGTTTCAATGGCCAACCGGAGTGCTATTATTTTGAAAATCCTACAGATCCTGAACAGTGCCAGAAAAAGCCTTACTGCCTTGATAATCCATATCCTATGCTGCTGGTTAACATAGGCTCAGGGGTCAGCATCCTGGCTGTGTATTCTAAGGACAACTATAAGAGGGTCACAGGATCCAGGTAAGTTTAATTCTGTTTTCTTTTCCCCTTGATAATTGAACAGATAGAACCAGACTGTGTGACTAGTAGGTGCAGCCCCAAATTGTGCTTGTTTGCCTATTTCTTTTAAAAGCCCAGCAGTAGCAAGGCTGAATATATCCTAAGTTTCCTTCAGAGAGGGGGTCTACAGCAGGGAAATCATTGATCCATTCAACTTTAGAGCTACCTTAGTCTCTTCTTGGTGTTCTTATGTACTTCTCTTGAAGTGAATTACAAAAGTAAAGAAAGATGTCCCAGTAAAAGAATCTTCTCTCCCCTGCTTTGATCCCCCAGAACATCAAGAGCAGTGAAATAAAAATGTTTGGGCTAAACAAAAACCTCTTACTTAGTAGTTAGGATGTATCTAGGATATAGGAAAACTTTGGAGAATTACCTGCTACTGCTGGATTCTGGCAGAGGAATCTCACTAGATCTCCTGTTTCCTTACTGATTGCACTAGTCTTTGGACCATGCTGGTAAATTAAGGAATGCCAGTGTGTGAAGACTAGAATCTGATTGTCTGTATTCTTGCTTTGTCCTCAGCATGATTTCCGCCTGGGTCAGCTAGTGCTCCCTGTAATGATTTGTAGGGTAAAACTGAGTTGAAACTGAGGTGTCTGGCCTGCGTTCAGTAAGAGATTTAGATGTGACTGCTCTGTTGAGGATTCAAGGAGTTGAGCAATGTGGATACAGAATTTCATTCTCAAGGCCGAAAACAGCCTGAGGCATGTGTAAGTTTGCTCAGTAGGTGTGGTAACAGTGCTTATAGGAAACCACTTTAGTTACAAATGTATCCATCCAGACTAGTAGTAAAAATATCAATAAATCTATCCCGCTTTTTCATCATACATGCAAACTAAATTAGTATACTTCATTTTTAGTAATCTTGTAATCTTAAAAACAAAACCAAACAAACCACCAAAACAAACCTAAACAAATACCCTTCTGAAACAACAACAAAAGCAGCCTTTTGGATTTTCTATAGTCCCTTACAAAACTGCATTCTGTTCTTCAGTGCAGAGTACGTATTAATAAAGTTTCTTCTGTATATGGCATGTGACTGCATATGTGTCTTCTGTTGCCTTATCTAGGGCATATCTTTGCTACAATGGTAGCCATGAGCCATTTTTCTGTATACAATACAGATGAACATAAGTTGAATGAAAGAAGTATTGGTTTTCTTGCAGTTCTGGTTGTTTTTCAAGCATAGCCCTTTTGATATCTGTAGATGTGCTTCTGATTCTTTCCACTACGAAAGGAAAAACATGACTGCAGTGGGTTGCTGACTTGTTGTAGATGATGAAATCAATACTGTCTTGTGCCTGGTGTGCAGGGCTTCCTGCTGTTCAGATGCTGAATATATCACAGTGCTACTAGCAGTGTTCTGAAAAACTTGCCTGATAATCCAAGAGCACTGACTGAATGGTGTTCCTCTGACCTTCTGTGCTTTTTTATTAAGTGCAACTGTGGTGTCTCACTCATCCTCTTGTTTACTGTGGCTACAGTCGGTGTGACTGCAATCAGTGCAAATAAGCTATCTTTCTCAAGGGTTAAGAAAGAATGAGGAAGGATGTAGAGGTTAGTAAGTTGAAGTTCATGTCTGTTAAGACTGAAGAGTCCGAAGTAGAACTATAATGAACTAAGTTAGCAACCTGTTCTGCACAATCAAATATTCACTGCTAGTCAGTAAATATTGTACTTGAGCCTGTGCAAGATGTTAAAGTGACTGCTCCTTGCTCAGAGCTCTTTGGAGGGCCAAGACATTCAGGGCTGTTGCTAGCCTTGCTTTGAACAGGAGCCACCCAGACTGCTTCCCCTGTCCTAGGTAGGGGGACAAGATCTGCCTTGGCTGCCTGCCTCTGCATAGATATTTAGCTTTGATCACTGTTTATTCTTTCATCACTGACTTAAGTGATCTACTAGATAATTATTCTTGCACAAGGAAAACTTGCTAGAGTGCTACAAATAGCAAACTGACATCTGTGGTGTTGGATTGGATCTTATTCTCAGCTAACCCTTTATTTAGCATCATTTCTCCTATTTAAATATTAAGGACTTAAGAGTAGTTCAGTTAAAAACATGCCGGATGACATTTGTGTTGAATGGAAACTCAATTTAGGGTGTCTGTTTTCACTTCTCTGAGGGAGGAGTTGCAAGATATAGTTGGCTGGTAGCTGTGTAGACCCTACTGAAAACAGGAGTCTGAAGAGCTGTGGTAAAAGCTGGTTCAAGCTGCTGGTCTGAAGGAACTGTGCTTTTCTAGTCTTGGAGGAGGAACGTTCCTGGGCCTGTGCTGTCTGCTGACTGGCTGCGAGACGTTTGAAGAGGCACTAGAAATGGCTGCGAAAGGAGACAGCACCAATGTGGATAAGCTGGTGAAAGATATTTATGGAGGAGACTATGAGCGGTTTGGCCTTCAAGGGTCTGCTGTAGCTTCAAGGTACGTGTTAATTGAGCTGTTTTTAAGGATTTCCTTGGGAAGCTTACTGCGCATGCTGAACTGAGTGCGTAATCCCTGGACTATGCACTATGTCCGTGTGGAAATGTCACTCTGAATGTATAATGTCGTTTGTCCTTAGATCCCTCACCTACCTCTTGCTCTCTTTTTAAACAGGTATGAGCAATGCTTGATATAGTTCGCTTCCATATAAATTACAGTTATTTTAGAAGTGTCTTTGCTCATTGTCCTGCCTTTCCAGTGAGGTCCCTTTTCACATTTCAAATCTGTCTCAAATCAATGAATATTAAATCCAAGAAAAGCTTATTAAATGATAAATTTCTAAGGGATTTTAGCACTCCTAAATAATTTTCATTAAAAGGAATAATCTTCCTCACACAGCTTTGGTCATATGATGAGTAAAGAAAAGAGAGATTCCATCAGTAAAGAGGACTTAGCCAGAGCTACTTTGGTCACCATCACCAACAACATAGGTTCTATTGCTCGCATGTGTGCATTGAATGAGGTAAGATAGCATATTTACTATGAACTTAAACCCTTCAGAAACAGCATAGTAAGATTATCAGAATACAGGAATGCAAATTGCTGGTACAGTAGGTGTGTAACTAGCCTTGGTAAATAACGTGTATATTTAATGTGGTGTCCTAACTCTTGTGATTTGCCTTATGTGTATGCTTTGATGCAAAGTGTAAGGTACTTCAAGCTTCAAAGGTGGGGAAGAGAGGAGAAAAGTTGACTGTAAAGATCTCCTGGAACCATCGATATCTGAGCTGTTCAGTTGCTTTCCAGCTGTAATACATAGGTATTAACGCCTTTGTAATCCATATTAATACTGTCAATTACCTTGTTGTTAACAGATTTTACTATACTGTGACAGGTTTGATTTTTTAAATGGTATTTTCCTTGGCTTGTTTCCGTAGCATGATGGGTTTGAATTGTGTATTGCATTAAATGTTTTGATAGAGACAAGGTCCATTGTATTGGGTCAGAGAGAAGAAAAATCTAGTTCGTTTTCCTGCCTCAAACTTCTATCAGATGCTTGTTATGTTCTTTTCTTTAGGCATGATAACTATGGATGGATTGATCCATTCATACACCTTTCCAGCTTCCAGCAGTTTAAAAAATAAATGAAACAGAACAAAAAACACCCAACAAAAACACCAAAGATTTAGGCACTTGTTTTGAGCTGCAAATTGCAACCTTTACTATTATGTGGTGACTAATCTCTTTTATCTGCTGTCAATGAATTTACCTAACCTTTTTTTCATGCACAGATGTTTAGCTCCATAGTATTCTGTGGTTAGAAGAAGGTGCTTCTTTTTTGTTTTTTTTAATCAACACACCCACATAGCCCAAAAAAACCCCAACAAAACAAAACCAAAAAACTCACCAAAATGCCATCTGATTACCTTATTGGGTTCTATCCACCTTTTTGCTTCATGAGAAGTAGCAAGTAATTTGTCATTAGTTCTTTTGGTGGGTTTGTGGTTTTTTGGATTTTTGTTTTGGTTTTTTAAATAAACTTTTACCACATCTCCCTCTTGGTCCTTCAAGACAGAAGGTCCTAATACTTAGTCTCCTCTCCTACAGAAGACACTCTGTGTCACTTTTCCACTGTTTCATTTTGTCTTTTTAATATTTTTATGGTTCTGATTTTGAGAAGAAATTATCAGATCTTCATGCAGTATTCAGAGTGTGGTTGCACAATGAATTTTTGATGGTATATTGATAAATTTTGTGTTCTGGGTTCCTTTACTAACAGTTCTTAATATTTTTTTTTTTTGTGGGCATGGAGCTCATATTTTTAAGAAACCATCCATCTACAGTCACTCTCACAGTCTTTCTTGAGTGATGGTGGCTAATTTGGAGCCTATCATTGTGTCTGAGTACTGAAGTCTCTCTGTCTCTTTCCACTTCCATTTGTGTCATTTCACTTTTTTAATTTAAACATCAGCTGCCGTTTTATTCCTCAGTCACTGGGTGTAAGCATTGTTATGCTGTTCATCTTTTATTCCGACTCTCCTGAATAACTTCGTATGTCAACAAACGTTACGTTTGTTGCTAATATCCCTCTCTAGAGCACTTTTAAAATATGTTGAACAGCACAAGTCTTAGTGTATGCCTTTGTCAAATGCCACTAACAACTTCCCTTCATCATGAAAAGTGAAAGCTACAGACTTTTGGGTTGGCAGTTTGACTCTTTCAGTCAGGATGATTCTCTTTCGGTGTTCTCTTTGCTTTCAGCTTCTTTACAGTGTTGCCTTGTGGCATGGAGTTCAAGCAGCATTGTACAGGGCTATCAAAGCATGGAGAGTTGCAGCAGGGAACCACACGCAATACATTCAGTGGAGGAAATAGGCTACTAATGAAACTAATGCTTCTGAGTCGTTGTGAAAAAGTTCCTAACGTGTTTTTTTGGGGGCAGACTTATTTAAAAACTGGACATGATACATAGAATTTTGTGGAGGAAAGTAGACTGATGTGTAAATTATTCTTCATTTCACAGGCAATCTCACAGTAGAACTTCTCCAACACTTGAACTAAATTATTTTGTAGCTCTAGAGAATGAGAACTTCATTTAGTAGCTTTACATACTATTAAAAAAAACCAAACAAAAACAAACCAAAAAACAACAACAGAAAACAAACAAAAACCATGATATAGCATTGCAAGTAAGCTACTCTCCAGGTAGCTTGCTCTCAGGGGAAAAAAAAAAGTAATGCTATTGTTCTGCTAAATAAGCTAGGCACCTAAATTGCCTTTGGGAGATATGGCCCTGACTCTCACCAAGCTTGATAAATGAAATACCCAAAAAGACCTTAAAAACCAGTTGAAAATGCTATGTTCTTTTGTGGAGTTTGTGTGTGTATTAGATTAGGGTCATGGTGAAGCTCACTTTTAGATTCTTTGACAAAATCAATTTATGCCCTGAAGCATAAGTTTTGATAAGTTATTTTTTCAATGATTGCAGCTTTAATAATGTGTTGAAAATGACTTGCACATGTGCAGGAAAAAGTGAGGCTGGGGAATAAATGAAATACTCTGTCTGCAGAACTTCAAAGCAAAGTTCACTTGCACAGAGTTGGCAGTGGGGTAGAAAAATTCCAGAGTCTGGAACCATTTGGCTACACATCATTTGAAACAGTCTGTCCTAGGCACAGCACAGCTGCATAAAGGAAACCAATCTCCCTGGTTTATACTTTTCTTACTAGCAGAACATGTAAGTTGCATCTGAACAAGGCTTCTTGAAAAAATATGTGCAGGGTTTTTTAATAGCATCTTTGATATAATTCTCCTATTCAATTATATTGGCAAATATGTGTATATACTGTAGTGAAGCTGTACTATAGCTTTCTATTGCAGGGTAGTTGAACAATTTAGCAAGACCCCACAGGGTGAAAGAGTGCATGTCTTTTCCAGGATGCTGTAATTTGTTTAGCTTAAGTAAGCATTTCATCACCATCCCTTCATTAGTTTGACTTCTGTCTTTCAGTTTTGAATATCTCAGCAGTGAACAGTTTCAAAGTAAGTTGGCAAGACTCCTTTAGATAAAAGTAGCAGTTCTTAATTTTCTGACTCCCGAAAAATGCTAAAGCTGTTTTAAGTTCAGTTCAAAAAATCTAGGAAACTTTACATCTTTAACATAATTTTTAACCTTGACAAGTCAAGGAATGTTGGAAAGTGAAATTGATATGAAACTTGCATGTTGATATATGCTCTGCTATTCTAGTAGGTGTCCTGGTTTGGTTGCGATAGAATCCTAGGCCAGCCGTTAGCAGCTTCAAGTCAGCCAGGGCACCTGACCTGAGTTTGCTACAGGTGTAGCCCATCCCATAATGTCACGGTCATTGTAAAGGGAGGAGGTTTACTGAGGAGAGGGAGCTCCTGTGAGGTCATTCC